AAATATTCCCCGTGCTTATGTGAGTTAATATTTCCTTTGCCTGCATGACCGTGGCGATTGCTCCATCCCAGGCACACCATTAGGAGGAGGGCATGTCTGGTGCCAGCAGCTCTTGCCTGCCTGCAGGCACAAGCATTGCTTTTAGTAATTTGAAATCTGGGTGTTGTTTCCAGCTTGGTCCACACAATCACCTGACATTTTCTTACTCCATTTTAATAAGTTTATGGTCCTATTTGCTAATTACTGTACTGTGGTAGAGTGCCATACCACTCCCTAGTGTCTGGTTACTGGTTTTGTGTGTAGTCATAGCCCATATCATTATTAAGTGAGACAGGTTTGCCCAAGCAGAAATACAATTCCCTAAACATGTGCTTAGTGCATTTGAGGTGCTGTAGGGTATCCAAGTCACCCACGCAGGCATGAAACAGGACTTCTGGGAGACCAGCAATTCCCAAAGCCCCTCAGAGCCTACACTGTCTCTAGGCACTTGTGTTTGGGTGGTTGAATCGTGCCCTCACAGGCTGCAGTCTTTGCTAAAGGTTTGACAAGGGTCAAATACATTATTTGATCCATTTGCCAGTGTCCCATGTTTTTCACTCAAGCTGAGTAATGATTCAGCTTTGTTGATTCTATGGTAGGATTGAGTAGTGTCTCAACTCAGCTGCCTGAATGGGCATCTAGTGCCATTAAGGTGCCTGAAGGTTTCCAGCTGGCCACCAACTACCAGCCTAGAAGCCACATGTCCCCTCCAGGTCCTGGGTCACAGCCACCAGGGCTGTGTCAATGTCTCAGGTTCACTAGACTGTGTCAAAAGCACAACAAATCACTGTTTAGGCAGATTAATTGCAGCCTAAGCCCATCTGATCTCAGGCTTAGGGTGTCATAGACAATCGTGTTGGTCAAAACTTTTGGTGAGCTCCTGAGTGCTGCACAAATCACCCTAAGTTTACCTCCTACATGTGCTCAGATGAAATGCTCTCTAGATGCCATTTGACCATATTGATTAGATTTCTGTTGATATAATGTAAGCTGAGACAGTTCACTCACATGCAGGCACCCACTTTGTGGACACTTAGGAAAGCTGACTCCCTGCTGTTATTGTGTTAAGATCACCACAATGCAGCAGTACTCATGATTCCTGTGATGCTCTGTGTAGCGTCACTTGGTGCTACCAGTTGATGAGGATAGGCAGTGACCCTTCCAGGTTAAAACATAGGTCACATTTCTGCAGTCTGGAAAAAACCAATTCTAGGATGAGAAAAGAAGTCACAAGGTAGATCAACATCCACCAACTCTAACCAATGTCAAAGACAAGCATTAGGAAACCATAACCAGCAGCTACTTATACAGCTTCTTCTTTTCCCAGACCTCAAGCCCAGCTATAGGCATATTTGTGAATCATTGCTTGCGAAAAAGTGTGTTCAGGCCTCTCTCCCACAGGCAGTGGGAACTGGCTGCTATGTTGTGTAGGTGGCCAAGTTGCAAAACCCTAAAAGTGCTTTGACTGACATAGGCCTCCATCAGCTGTCACTCAAGTGTTTTCTGAGAAAATATTAATATAGTTTGAGCTGTTTGCTGAAAATAGAAATGTAGTCTAAATTAGTTGTTTAAGCTTCTCTACATTCAGTAAAGACAGAGAGAACCTATAGAGGCAGTTCATCCTATTCTAAGGTAACTGGTTGAATGCCTCTCAAGAGATATGTATTTCACCATTTTCTATAGAAGAATGCTTAACTAATAAATGTATAAAGTTAGGTACAAATAATCTTCATAGAAACACAGAATCATTTAGGCTGGAAAGACCTTTAAAATCATCGAGTCCAACCATTAACTTAACCCTCTCATCCCCCCACTAAACCATGTCCCTAAGCACCTCATCTATCCTTCTTTTAAATACCTCCAGGGATGGGGACTCCACCACCTCCCTGGGCAGCCCATTCCAGTGCCTGACAACCATTTCATTGAAAAAATTTTTCCTAATGTCTAACCTAAACCTGCCCTGGTGCAACCTGAGGCCATTTCCCCTCATCCTATTGCCCGTTACCAGGGAGAAGAGGCCGACCCCCACCTCGCTACAGCCTCCTGTCAGGTAGTTGTAGAGGGCGATAAGGTCTCCCCTCAGCCTCCTCTTCTCCAGGCTAAATACCCCCAGTTCCCTCAGCCACTGCCCATCAGACTTGTGCTCCAGACCCCTCACCAGCTTTGTGGCTCTCCTTTGGATGTGTTCCAGCAATGCAATGTCTTTCTTGTAGTGAGGGGCCCAAAACTGAACACAGTATTCGAGGTGCAGCCTCACTGGTGTGGAGTACAGGGGCACGATCACTTCCCTGCTCCTGCTGGCCACACTATTCCTGATACAGCACACCCGGAGTGCAGGGGATGAGCCTCGCCTAGGAAGACAACCTGCCTGATCACGGTGTCTCCCCTGCCAGGTAACTAACCTAGCTGTTCTCACTGTCTCTATCCTTGCACTGCTACAGAGCAGGCAGCTGTAGGCATCTGGTGGCCAGCCATGGTGGGGAAAAAATATAGCCACATCTCCCAGTTCATATCAAATCTTCTCACAGTGCTGCCTTTGGGTTTTTTTACAAAATTAAATTCATATCAGCCAAAACATGTTTTCCAATAATGTGTTCTAGTGCCATTGGATACTAGGCTTGGTGCAAAAGCCACCAAACAGGGGGTTGTCTTTTGTGACCTATGCCATGTACATAGTCAGATGATAGCACCATGGTCATCCCTTCTAGCTTTAAAACCTTTGAGACAAACAAATGTATTCATTTAAAAACATAAGACAGATTTCAAAAAAGAGTCTGTACTTCTGGATAAGTACGGATGTCATTTCCAGTATCAGTTCAGTCAAGCTCTCCATCTCAGAAAATTCATTGTCACAGTTTGTACCTCAGTTACAGAACTCAGTGGGATCCAGGCCTCACGAGTCTCTTACTTTCAATACAAAGATAATAAAAACAAATTAAGGAAAAAGTTTAGTTGGGGTTTTTTTTATGATAGCTGAGAAATGCCAGTAACAAGTTTAACTAAAAGGGCCACATTGTGAAATTTGGGCTAGAAAATTCATCATTAATGCCTCCAGCTGGATAAAAATTGCCTTCAAGTGACAGCAAAAAAGCCAAAAACACGGAAGCAAGGATTTCCTGAAAAAGCCACAGTCCAACAGCATGGTATTTCTTACAAGTGTTTTGTAAAAGCTGAATACATGCTGTCAGAGCTCCTCTGGGGTGCCAAACATCTTCAGCTCCCATTGCTGCCAGCGGAAGAGGAAGGTGCTTGGCCAGCACAGGGTGAAATCCCATAATTTGTCACAGCTTGTGTGATTCTTGAAACTTCCTTTATTTTCAATTACTTAAGACAGGAAATAATCATATCCCCTGTGGCTAATGTGGTTAAACTGAAGAAACTTTTAATGATGAAATGGCAGATAGATAGATGATAGATAGATAGACAGATGGATAGATAGATAGATAGATAGATGGATAGACAGACAGACAGATTGATTAGATAAATGCAAACAGAAACATAAGACTCTTCACATCCTTTACGCTGGATTTATAGGGTAAAATCTTTTTCTTTTATGCATATCTTGGATTCCACCAGTATAATTTAAAGGAAACACACCTTTTCAAAGAGTTGCAGGGAAGAGGTGGGGAATGATTTGGGGTTTTCATCTGTTTTCTGAAACACCCAGTCTCACTTTATGGAACAATTTTAAAGGAAACTTTTTTGCTTACAGTAATTTCTCCCAAAGTTTTAATTTTTTTGGATGGGATTCCTATCTGGGGCATGATTCCAATTTTCTAAGATGAGAATGGTTAAGAGTCCCTGTACATTTGGTGGCCCCATTTCACACGCTGGGTTGGGACAACTTAAAAGGTTTTACATTTGTCCGCCATTTCATCTAGCATGAAATTCCTCAGGTTCACTAAAATTCAGTGTAAAATAACTAAAATTGAGTGCCAGTTTTGAAATGGTAGCCAAGGAACTTAGGAGTATTCAAATACTAACTGACTTCAGATGTTGGTGAAATTGGACGGGTTTAATTAAGTTTTATTGTGTCAGCCAGCACAGTGTTACAGCATGTGTGGAGGTAATCAGAGCATGATAAACTCTGAGTCAGTCTACGGCTGACTCTACAAAGCACCCCATAAGCGTATGAACTGGGATGCAAGAGAGGATGCACGCAGAGCAGAAAGGAGACTCCTCTCCTACCAGGACAGAGACAAGAGTAAGAATGAAGGATCTTTCACTTTTACTTATAACATGTGCAGCTGTTTAGAAGAAGATGCAAAGCTTCTACAGGTAACTACATTATCCGTATCTGAGATCCATTGAGCCCTCTCTTTTAAGATAAAACCTGCATGTTCCAGCTACACAGCAGTTTGCTGCCTTTCTGAGACAGTGCTATTACACTGAACTCTGTTGCCCAAACTTCACTAAAGTATGATAAAAGTACAAACTGGAAATGTCAAGGAAATAAGAGTCAGGGACAATGTTGAGTGTTTCTGTTTAGCTATGATCCTCAGGAAAACATCTGCTGTGCTCCAAAATCACAGGCAGATGATTTTGCCAGCAAAGTATGCAAACAATATCAGTCCTAAGGTATTTGTTTTAGAAACAGATCAAAATGTGAAATGTGTTTGTTTTATTTGTTCACTAGGACTATTTGAATAAATTCTATGCTGTTGAGCCAGATCCAAATCAGCTTGGATGGAAAATAAATGCTGAATCCACAGCTGAAAAACTAAAAAAAATGCAACGATTTTTTGGTTTGAAAGTGACTGGAAAACCAGATACTGAGACATTGGAAATGATGAAGAAACCCAGATGTGGAGTTCCCGATGTGGGTCTCTATGGTGTTACTCTGCCAGGATGGAAAAAAACCAAGCTGACATACAGGTAGTATTTCAATAATTACTTTTTGAGTTGAAATTTTGGTTTTGTGGGTATCCACATTTGTTATATTTAAATACTTCTATAGCAATTGTTTCCAGTTGGGAATATAAAAATTGTTTCTCTTTCCCCAGCTGTTAGCTATGCGTATTCCCAAGAGGAATTTCTGAGAGTGAAGCTGGATATTTTATATTTTCTGGGTCAACCACAGCATTTTGCCTGTCATGTATCACTCCTGACAAATATTCTGTGAGTGAAACAGAAATATCAATTTCACCCTGTACAAGCCCCATTATCTTCAAAATTTTGTAAGACCACCACTTTAGTAGTCACAGAAACCTGAGGAGATGACTTCCCTCAGGCTCACAAGACAACCTCCTGGCTAAGGGTCATTTTAAGAAAAACTGATACCATGTACCCAATTATTATTATGAAAAAGACATATTGGACTGTTATCACATTCCTCAAACTCACTCAGTCCAAGATGAATCTTGGGAGCTATTGGATTACAGGTTAAATTGCTTCTTATACATCTCTGTTCATCACTGTAACAGTATTAGAGAAATTCTTCTGCAAATACTAAGTATTATTACTTGAACCCTCATAACTGTAGAATTGTGAACCACACACCAGATATGAGCAAAGAGGATGTGGATAAAGCAATCCAGAAGGCGTTTAAAGTCTGGAGCACTGTCACCCCACTGATTTTCACTCGTATTCATGAGGGACTAGCAGATATAATGATTGCTTTTGGGACCAAAGGTAACACGCTAACTGCATACCAATGGTAAGGTTGATTTAAAGATTTTCCAATAGTTATATCACAAATTCAGTGTTGTTTCAACATCATGTTATTTAGCTCATGGACGTTGCCCTCGTTATTTTGATGGCCCCCTTGGTGTCCTTGCTCACGCCTTTCCACCTGGCAATGGTTTTGGTGGTGATGTGCACTTTGATGAGGATGAAGATTGGACCACAGGCTCAGCTGGTAGGTAAAAAAAGGCTTCTGAAGTGTTATGCAGATGGGTAAATTCCTTTCTGATTTTATTTAAATGAAGGAATAGACTGAGATGAAACACAGCATTAACAATAAGAGCAGTATGAGGATATTACAGGCCATCGTCCCACCGGGATACTTACAATGACACTAACGTAAAATCAGCCCGATCTACTCTAATTCTTATTTAACACTGGTAAAGATACTAACGGGACAAGTCTTTTCAGATATGAATGCTACAGGCATGGGCCACTCTTATCTGGGGGTTGACAGGACCCATGCCCACCAGAATTTCAAAGCCTGTGGTAAAAGCTTTCTGACTTTTTCCCCTCCTGGCGCACATGCTGACACTGAGCCTGGCACTACTGCACACTGCAGAGGAAGCACACCATGCCTCGCAGCAGCCCTCAGGGGAGATCCCCACCACCTAAAAACCATTACAGCCACCAGTAATAATGAAGAGTCTTCAGTAATAATACCAAGATAGAATCACACAGAATCACAGAATGGCAAGGGTTGGAAGGGACCTCAGGAGATCATCCAGTCCAACCCCCCTGCTAAAGCAGGGTCATCTAGAGCATGTTACACAGGACATCGTCCAGGCGGGCTTTGAATATCTCCAGAGAAGGAGACTCCACAATCCCCCTGGGCAGCCTGTTCCAGTGCTAGTCCAACTATAAGCTGTTATAGCTTTACTCTACATGCAAGCTAGGATAGGCTTACACATGAAAGTGTTCTCCAAGCAATTTCAGCTGCCTGCCAGCAGTTGGGAGTCTGAACGTGCTGTTCAGGCAACCCACAGGCTGAGATGCTTTGTATAGAGCTGACTACAGATGTGTGCCATGGTGCCAGAAGAGAGGGGAATGCCAAGTGCTCAACCACCTGTCTGGGACCCACCTGCTCCCCTTAACCCCTTCCCCTCAACCTCCAGGTTGGCCATACAGCAGATACTGCCTCTGACAGATCCATCACTGGCACATTATGCTGCTGTGCTTCAGACCCTTTTCTCATCCAGTTTTGGGGATGGGAAACTACAGAGGGTAACCGCAACAGGAGAATCAAGGTCACACTGCAGGCAAAGCAAGGAGCTAACAAAAAGGAAGGTGCTGGAACAGCACTGCATGGGGAGGAGAGGTACGGGTTTATTGTGGTGGGAAAAAAAAGAAGGATGAGGGGTGGACACATTATGCTGATAAAATGTCATGTTTTCTCCACACTGGGACTGAATGGGTCAAGCCCAGTTTTGCTGCTGCTCCTCAATAGCATGGCTCCAGAGGTCAGGCATTGCAGGATTTGTTGGAGAGCTCGGAGGACTCGCGAGAGGGGAGAACTGGAAATACATATGGAAAAATTGAGGCTTTGTTTGGTGTTTTGAGAAGTGGATATTTTGGCTTCAGCCAGCCTTTCTTGGGCAATCAATGACCAGTCCTCTGCTCTGCCACAGACTTGTGATCCTCACTAAGTCTGTTGATATTGCTGGCTCTTGGTCTGCAGATTCTTCCCTAACTCAGAAAGGCGTGTTACTTGGAGGGATGCATGCTGAAGGAAATTTACTGTGTTAACATATTTCACTGGGAATAAGCATGCATAAGCATAATATTTTTAAAAGTTATTTTTGACAAGGGTATAAAGAAACCATACTCTTTAATGCTAAAAAGGTGAACAGTTCTGCTAACATTGTATTTTTCCTTGTATATTCAAGATCTCAGCTTTTTTTTTTAGGTTTGTAGAAGGGAGGGTGGCACACAGAGCTACACTTTGGTACCTCAAGTGAGCATTGAGTGCATTGCCCTATCCTTGCCCTGGAGAGCTGTTATTTTGATCTGACTCACTATCTAATCTGTTCTAGCTCAGCCAGAAAACCCTGCCAGAACATTCCTCAGAGCTGCACCCACACTCACCCACAGACATCTACTCATGCCACACACATATGTACAGTAGCTAACAGAAAGAACAGCAGGAAAAAGGGCCGAAAGCCACTCCCTTCTAGTGAGGGAAGAACACAGCCTTATCCTATGCAAAAAAATATGCTTACGTATATGCATACCCTAGTGAATTTCAATATATTGTATGAAAACTGCCATGGAGCAATAGCCCTGCTGTGTTCGTATCAGCCATGTCCAGACCAAAATTAGACTGATTTCTTCTCTCTATCAATTTTTTAAGGGTTCAACTTGTTCCTCGTTGCTGCTCATGAGTTTGGCCATGCCCTGGGTCTCTCCCATTCTAATGACCAGAGGGCTTTGATGTTTCCCAATTACGCCTACATCATCCCCAGCGAATTTCCCCTCTCTCCAGATGATATAAGTGGCATTCAGTCCATTTATGGTGAGTAAAATCCATGGTTTAAAAAAAGAAGTAAGCAGGAGAGAAATAATCTCTTTCACAAAATTTCACCATAAAAATAATTGTATTCTCGTAATATCAAAAATGCATTTGTATGTGAAAACATTAATGTTTCTACAAATTTGGTGTATTCTTTCTAAAATGTCTCCCTTAGGATCCCCACCAAATGCCCCAGACAAAAGGCCAGCCCCCACTACCTCACCTAAAACCTGCGGCTCCCTGATGTCCTTCGATGCTACAACTACACTCCGACGAGAAGTCATTTTTCTAAAGGGCAGGTAAATATTGATATGACATTTGTCTCTGTGAGGTTTACTTTTTCTTGGCCTCTACAAAGACTGAATCGTTTGGTGGTTCACACAATTATGGGATTTATAATGAGACAAATCGATAGAATTAAGTTCATGGAAATAAAACTTGGAACAGATAGGAGTTACATTAATATTTTTACAGGATCCCCTAAAAAACATGCTTCATTTTTTTCCAGAAAACATCTCAGTCCTCATAAAGCTTTATTGCCAAATGAATAGATGGTTACACCAAGCAGAGACATGACTAAATGCTGCAACCTTTTCTAAGAAATTAGTATGTTCTACTACATAGGTAGGCCAATCTCTCCTCCAGCCACCTATGCAAGCCCAAAGTCACCCGGGTAAGTCATCCAGGGAACAGGTTGCAGTCAGGCTCGTCTGGGACCCTACAACTCTCTTACTATATGGTATAGGAACAACCTGGATTTTTCAGCTGCTTGTAGCTGATCCCAGTCAGTACCAACGAGAAGGGTAACTTCAGAAAGAAGCCAGAGGGAAAAAAACCACTCACTTCCCACTGAGGGGAGTGTTCTCCTTTCTGACACATTGGCCCAGGTAGCTCCGCTGACAAGAAAGGGCTTGTAAGTCACGACATTGTTCACATTCTTGCGCATACATACAAATGTCTGTGGTTTCTTACTTACTACAAAACCTGTTTCATATTTAAACCAGGCACTTATGGCGAGTCTATCCTGATAACTCAGAAGTTGAACTTGAATTAATTTCTACCTTCTGGCCAACTCTGCCACCTGGTATTGAAGCTGCATATGAGAACACAAAAGATCAGATCCTATTTTTCAAAGGTGAAGTACGAGATTTTCTTTAAATATTTCTTACCTTTAGTTCTGTGGAAGATAGGAGGAAAGAAGGGTAGATATATGTGCATTAAATTCATTTTTCAAATAAATAAAAAAAAATAGGACATCTCCTCTCTTTTTCCTGCAACCTATACTAAGGGAGTGCATTTTTTCTTTTAGTGTCTGAAAATCATTGGTGAAAATAATTTTTTTTTTTAACAGGCGATAAATTCTGGGTTATCAGCGGATATCAGGTGATGCTTGGTTATCCAAAGAATATTAACACACTGGGCTTCCCTAAAGGTGTCAAGAAAATTGATGCAGTTGTTTGTAATAAAAATACAGGGAAAACAGACTTTTTTATAGGTGACAAGTACTGGAGGTAAGAAAAACTGACAATTTTTTTCTTATGATTGACCCCAATGTAATTGGAATACAATTAAAATTGTCCATGTGTTAAAAGAAAAAGTAGACCTTTACGTAACTATATGTTACTAGATAGCTATAATAATCCCACTTTACATAGAAATGTTTCATTGACTCCTACACAAGAAGAATAATATAGCTTTGACTTTTGAGAGCTTAAGGGTGTCCTGAAATGGGCATTCAAGATATGGAGCTGGTTTGATGCATTACACCTGGAAACTGAAAAAACTCTAACAGATAGAGAATATTTACAATTACAGTAGACAAAAGTATGTCAAAAAAATAAAAGATCTGAAAAAAGTCCTGGATTATTTTATCTCTTTTGGAGGGAGAGAAGTGGTAGCTCATTTTCCTTTCTTTGGCTGGTTAGAGCTAGATTTGCAACATGCTCCTTCTAAATTCTATTCCCAAGCTGACAGGAGTAATTCCTGATACCCAAACACCAGGCAAATGGAAGCAAAAAGTCATCTTTGGGAAGCTGATAGCTCCTCCTATGTGCAAGGGTAACTGCTGCAAAGGCCTTCTGCAGGCAACCAGGAGCATGCGTGGGACAAACAGACTTTGTCGTGACTAATGGGGGGTTTCCTCAGTGAGACATACAGTGTCAGCTGGATTCTGAGCTGCATGTAATTTCCTGTCCTTTGTTTTTGATAGTTTTGGAAAGAGTATTTACAATATCTTGCATTGCTATTTTAATGCCTTGGTCACAAGACAAAAGCATGCAACAAAACCACAGCACGGATTTCTTACCCAGTAACTCATTCTTTCAGTCTCATGTCCCTGTGAAAATATTTCTTGTATCCAAGGAGAAGTAAAACAAAGGCTTGTTTGTTTGCTTATTTTTTTTCCTGAGAGGGTTCCTCAAATACAGAAGAACCTCTTAGGTACTCCTTTTAGCCCCCAAACTCAGCCCCATCTCATAAAAATTTCCCTGGCTCAGTTAGGAACAACTTGATCATATTAGAAATAAGTCAACTTCCTTTCCTCCATCTAAATCTGTCAGCTAGTAGAGGACTATGTACAATACCATGTCGAAGTCTAAGAGGAGTTTAAAATTCATGCAATAAATATGTGCAGTCACTATAGATGGCATCAACCTGGCCAGTTTCCATGCACTGCCTGTCATGCTGCTGTCATTAGAGGAGGTTATTCCCATGTGAGTCCTCCTTCAATTTATCTCACTCCAGATGCTTCTTTGGAGTTGTGCCTGCCTTTATCAGTAAAAAGTAGCTACCTCATGGAAAAAGCAATGGCCGGCATCCTGCAGACATTTGTGCTAGTAGATAACTTTACTCTCTGTAACCCCAGTGAAATCAAACTACAGGTGGTGGACACCCTTCAGCAGCAACTTAATTCTTTGCAGAACTGATCTAAACTCTGTAGAATTACATGTCTCCTTTCATATGATTTAGGTTTGATGAAAACAGACAGTCTATGGAGAAGGGTTATCCTAGGCAGACAGTCAATGACTTCCCAGGAATTAGCCAGAGGATAGATGCTGTTTTCCAACAGAAAGGTAAATGAAATGAGCTTTTAAGTAAAATTTATTTACTTGTAAAGAACATAAGTTCTGGAATTATGATGAATGCTGTATCCTGCAAAAGGCAGAACTGAAGAGATGCTCTCCTGTGTGTACAAAGATGATGTTCCTCTCTTTGTCAGAATGAAGGTATTTCTTGCATCCATACCACAGTGCTATTCTTTTTCATTTCCAGGATTATTCTACTTCTTCCATGGATTGAAGCAGTGGGAGTTCGACCCTACTGCTAAAAAAGTTACCCGCAAAATGAAGAGTAACAGCTGGTTTAAGTGTTAATATCATTAAATTTTCTCACACACAGCAAATGAGAATAAAAATAATTCTGTATTTCTCAAAGGTTGTTCATATTTGCACTTTTATACAGAAGAGGCAACAAGAAGAGTTTTCATATATGTCTACTATTTTAATAAATCAGCATGTCAGCTCTAATTGTATCTCCAAAGGCTACAATGAAACTGCATTTTCCCCCCTGATTAAATTGAAAATGTCTAACAGAATTTATTGGTTTATGCTACAGATGGGTTTTCAAATATTTTGTCAATAAATCGGTTTAGGCTGATGTCAACTATTTTCTGCTTCATCTCTTGGAGGTGTTTTACATTTCTGAGGTGTGAAAGTCTCCAGGTTAATGTGCTAATAACCTTCCAATATAAAAAGTTTGTGTTTTGCTTCTTTTTCTCCAAACATCTTCAAGAGTCAGGCTTTCCATTAACCACTTGTTTTTCTGTCGTCTCTTCTTCATCTTCTCCTGCTCTTCTTTGATTATTGCAGCCTTGTCTCTTTCACATCATACCAGTATTTTGCCATCAAAATCACCCTCCAGCCCCAGTGTCTACATACATTATCTCACCCCAATTTGTCTTCACAGAGTAACAATTAGCATTTCATCAGTGGGCATTTTTTGTGAATCTATGAATGGCATCCTTCACAAATCATCCTGTCCTATTCAACAAATGGATTAAGTTACCATGTCATGGAGCACAACCTCTGCTCCTCTAACACAACACATGTGCTTCACGTGTGCATATATCCCAGATTTATTACACGCTGCCATCGCACACAGAACAAACTCCTCATGGAATAAACTTCTCACAGAATCAGACAAAATCTATAAAGTTACAGCCATATCCTCTCCAAGTATTTCCTTTACATTTAGTTCTGGAAACAGACCCAAAACACATGGACAAATGGCTGGCCATACTGCCAGTATGTCTGAGAACATGGTCTCATTAGTATTGGCTTGTTCTCCTGCTCCCTAGTTCTCACACATCTGGCTGGTTTACACAGCTGTTGCATGTTTGAGTAAAAAGTTTCTTTTTGCTCTGTGCTTGTACAGTATCAGATACAGCAATGCAATGATCCCGTTACATTGCTGCTATTGCTATGAGAACTCCACTGGCTTGGTTGCCACCAGGAAAACAAAATAGAGGCTCAGATAAGCTGTTTCACTGAGCTACAAAACTAGTTGTGGTGAACACCACCACACTCTAGATCCCTAGCAAAATTTAAACTGAAAGTGGGGTGAAATCATAGACATTTGGGTGTGATTCATCTGACTTAAGTTTAGCTTTCTGTCTATCTACATATATACTCTATATGAGTTAGGAGAGATCCCTGTACTGAAAGTAGAGGGAGAAGTTTTCCACAACATTTACTTATCTCATCTCATCCAAAGACTGTGCCGGGGCAAACCAGTATTTTTAGCCCGTGGAGAAAACATCTCTTTGCAAAGGAAGGCTAGCTGACTAGCTTAGAGTAGCTAACTTTCAGACAGATAAAGGTTGGTGAAATGTATAGTGTCTTTGCTGGGCATCTTTCAGTTTTTAGGTGATCCAACTTTTATCCTCTCTGATGTTTACTTCTTGGCAAGATACACCAGCAGTTTTTTATATCACCACAAGCCAGTGATAAAGTTGTCCGAAGGCACCTGCTTGGGCTGACACTACCTGTGGAGTGACCATAGAATCATAGAATCGTTTAGGTTGGAAAAGACCTCTAAGATCATCAAGTCCAACTGTTAACCTAACCCTGCCATCCCACCACTAACCCATGTCCCTAAGCACCTCGTCTACCTGTCTTTTAAATACCTGCAGGGATGGGGACTCGACCACTTCCCTGGGCAGCCAGTTCCAATACTTGACAACATTTTCATTGAAAAAGTTTTTCCTAATGTCTAACCTAAACCCCCACGAGATAAGAGCAGAACATGAGACAAGAGCAGAACATGCTGGAGGCAGGTGGGATGGAGATGGTTCCTTACCTAATTCTGTATTTCCAGCCTCCTTAAACTCTTCTCCACCATTCAATTCAGTTGATGGCTGTGTAGAAAGCAGAGTCTAACAGCAGAGTCTAACAGCAGGGTCGCAGAAGCTGCCAAGTTACACCCAAGTGTTTACACTCAGAGGCAAGATTACTCTTCAACACACACTGTGTAATACAATTGCAATTTTAGCTGCAAGAAAAGTTTAATCATTGAGTCATCAAGGAGATTATTCCATTCTTTGTAATACATGGGCAAGTTCCTCTGTCTTCAGATGCATAAACAAATATCAGAGTTACTCTGTACTCCTTCTCCTCTCAGGCAAAACATTGTTTCACAATTTATATAAATCCTTTGTATTAAGGAAGTTAATCTTTAACAGTGAAGTGTTGTTAATGAAGTTTTCTGACTGGCAGCGTTGGCGTTCTGTTAAACCAGTGTGGGGTGCCTGCTCACAGGTCACCTGCAAAAATAAATAAAGCAATGAGTACTGTTCTTCCTTTATTTGCGAAGGCCTGAAAAGTCACTCCCAACACAAAAAGACTTGACTATTAATTAGTGATAACAGCTTGGTCACTCAGTTTTCCCTCTTGGTTTGTCCTTTCTTTGGAGGAACGGGAACTTGAACAGGAGTGTCACAGCAGAAATCCAGTAAGCGATGAGTGCTTAGTTGCGGTCCTTTCCTCCATCTCTGCCAGGAGCCTGGCAGACATGGGATTATGTCTTGCACCCCACAATATCCTCCCACAGCCCCAGAGAGCTCCCAATACTACCTCCCCATCTGTCTTTTATGACACCTATAGCTCCTCATAATGCACATCCCCATACTGCATTTAGGTTACCGCTGAGTAATGCTGTGCAGTTGCCCATAAGCTGACCAGCTGCTGGCCCTACAGACCAGCCGAGGGATGAATTATACACCTTCCCATTAATCGGTTTTTCTCCTTCTCTAGCCAGCTGCTATTTTCCACAAAGCCTGTAGGCACTACAGCATCTCAGTTCGGCTTGGCTGAAGTTGGCCAGTACCTTCAGTTACTGTGGGACCAGGTGGACACACAAACAAGTGCAACAGAAAACAGGATCCCACGTGGCAAGCTGAAATATTTTTCTCGGTGTTTTTACTAAACATCCTTCTTGCTTTCCACTGCACATTTTTCATTTGGTTTTGCAATGTCCTATTCCCCCTACTGTTGACTGGAGGAATTTGCAAGGGCAGACAAGGCAAGGCAGAAAAGACATATAAAAACAAGTCAGTCCATGCTTTTCTTTCTAGTTGTTTCATATCACACAGAAAAAAACAGTCATTTGTTTCTCAGCCAATTAATGGGTTTTTAACAGCTGTTTTTCAAATGGATCATAAGATTGTGATGATGACACTGGATTAGGAAATGAGGAAATTATGCATCCTAATGTAATGTGTTGCCAAGACACACGAAGTACAGCATCCCAGATAGATTGTCCTGAAAAGTCCCGCTTGCTTCTCTGCCTGCAAGAACCTGGTCTCCCAGCACTGGGGTGGGAGTGCTTTAGCTACCAGAGCGGGGCAGGAGCTGTGTGTAATCAAATACTTACTAGAGCAGGATTTAAAATCCACCTCTTCCCCTTACCCTTCCCATGAGCAACCTATCCCCTGAGCTCTTGGGCGACAGACAGATACCCCAAAAGCCTTGAGAAAACTGATACTGAATCTTTCTAAGTGTTTGGTACCTCAAAGCAAGAAAAAAGACAAGCATGGGAGCTTACGTATGGAGAAATTATCTCGATGTACATAACTGCTCTTCCCTGCACTTGCTTGTAACTTCATGCCTCTTGCTGCTAACTGCCCAAATCTGATAACAAGTAAGGAAGCTGCAAGGCTGATTTCTAAGCCTTGATAGCCAACACGCTCTTCAAACAGCTCATGAAGTTGGAACCTTTTTGAACACTGAACATTCAGACATGCCAGAAACCATACCCAAAGCAGAGTACTGAAACCCCGTACAGCCATTGCAGGTACCGAGGCAGGACACTGGCAAGGAATGCAGATGAGCTGCACAATGTGCCTGGCTAACACAGGGGAGAGCACTTCTCTGAGGGCTACAAACACAGGCAGGGACCCTTGCAGGGTGAGCACTCTTAATGACAGCCATCTCTGTGGCATTAGTGAGCGTTCCTGTACACATACTTTGTAGACAGGACCTAAAGGTTTGAGATGTGGGTTCTGTGGTTCTGGCTGCGAATCAGTGTTTCATGGTCTGCCTGCATTCATCAGTTAAACCAGCTTGGGTGGGGTGGGGGTTGTCTGTTGGCTTTTTTCCTCATGCATCATGTGTTTCATGTGGTTTTATGATCTGTAAGCACTGTGTCTTGCTACCTTTCAATAAGTGAATAGACATAGATGCCTGTGTGCGTGTGTTTGTGTGCTCCCATAGAAGTTCTTTGCCCATGGGTGCCTGTGGGTCTGTGCAGCCTCTGTGGGGCTCTGCAGGCCTGGGGGTACTAAAGGCATAGGGGATCTCACCAGCTGCATGGAAATGGCTTTTGCGTATTTTATGAACAAATATTGCGTGTAGAACTGAGGGCAATAGAGCCTCCACATAGCAGAGCAAAACAAGGTTTTAAACCATCAGATAAAAAGCTAACATGAGCTCTTAAAGACTCAGTACGGGGTGGGTAGCTCAGGCTTTTGATATTTTATGTGACTGTGGGGTGTCTGTTTGATCTTGGACTGATGAGGGTGGTGTTTACTTTTAGAGCAGTTGATGAGGATACAGGAGATTAGTACAGGCCAACAAAGGAAATGCTGATTCTTGCAAGAGGATGGAGTTATGAACCTTACGTTGCAGAGCACAGCGTACGTGTCCCACAGGGGCAGGCCAGTGCTCCCCACCGCCCCGTGCACCAGGGTCCGTCCCCAGGCTGGGAGCAGGGGGCACAGCTGCCCCCCCCAGAGCACAGCTGCCCCCCTCCCTCCCCCCCGGCATCTGCTCCCGACAGCTCGGCTCCTCAGACGCTTAACTTTAATTGTGAGGTTACA